AGCCATGCATTTGTCAAGCAAAGGGCATAGGTTGCAGCCTTTGCTGGTGAGGTGGTGTGTGTGGGTTGTGTGGTGGCTCAAATGACTGGCTTGCAAGACCTTACAAAGCAATGCTCAAGCAAATGCCAAGGCAATGTGGATTTCATCTGCGCAACACATTCTCTGGCAATCTTGCGTTTTCTTTGTTGTGTGGTGGTGGAATGTGGCTTTCTTTTTCTAAAACGGTTGGGTTCCAAGGTATCAGAGAGCAAAACAGTGGAACATTTGCAGGGGTGGATTTCATATACACAAAACACAACATATACACACCCACCTACCAAATACCCTGGGGCTAAAATGGGTTGGCATGTTTGGCTAAAATCATTGCTCCCCAACCTCCCAACATATTATTCCATCACCATGGTGCGCACCCAGTAGATGGGGGGCGCCCAACGTTTACATACATCTCCAGCCCCACATACCCCCAGCCCAAGCAGTTGATAAAATGCTACCAGATTGGGTCTGAACTCTATTTTTAGCCGGGGCTCAAGCCCTCCTGATTCTAGCCAGGGTAGGTCGACGGGGATTATGATTTATAGAATTGTGAAACGGATGGCAATGGATGGCAGGTGGCCAATATAGCTGGTATCATAAGTCCAACTAGCCTATTGTGGCTCCTAATCAGGTTGCCGTTAGAACTGGCCAGAGATGAAACCTGACTTCAGACAATACGGTGTTTTCACCTGGTCTGTTTGAACAATGGCTCGGTACAAGTACTGAGTACTTGCCTGGAACATTCCGTCGTTGCCATCTTCCCCCACAGGAGTTGACCTGACAACTCAGCAGAGGCAGCCACATGCTACAGGCCACCAAACATCCTTGTTTTGAAATTGTTTGAAAGCTGCTACTGAAAAACACTGGCAATGTCGTTGATATCACCGACACTAAGGATCACAAAGGTTGGAATTCTTGGATTCACGCATTCACGCTGCCTTTTCTTGTGAGTCTTTGTTACAGTAACTATCCTTTCCTTTCACACCCTGCAGTCAAACTTGTCGGAATGACACCGACTCTTCACTCTGAATCGTCCTGCCGACACCGCGCCGCTGTTGATTCGCCGAGCGAGAGCGCGTGGAAGATCCGGAGGCGCCAGGTTTGTGCGTGGCACGAACGACGGCAGTCGTTCAGGTGCAAAAGACCGGTTCAGTTCGGCAGTCATCTCCATCCCGTAGGCAAGCTAGTGGCTGTAGATTGGGTAGATGTTTCCCTTCCCGAACCTGGTCTAAACTCTCTGATCCCTACTGACCCCACCCGACCCTCGCGCCTGCAAAAGTCCTCCTTCGGCTCAGGTAGATCATCTCTAGGCTCAGAACCTGGCGAACGACGCGCAAGGCCAGGTAGCAAATGGCGAGAATCGACCGAAAACCATGACACTCCCAAAAAACATCAAAAATGATGTACGTAACGATGCATCTTAGGGTGCCCACCACAATGTTGTTGAAAACCTTTCCGCCATCTGTTCTCAAGTCACAGGAGGACTTTCCGCAATTTGATGCAGAGACAAAACACTGCATCGCAATTTGATGCAGAGAGAAAACACTGCATCGCGTTGATGTCAGCATATTGTCAACCATGTCTTGAAGGATTGAGCACTTCATACCAGGTCCTTTGGGATTTTACATCGCCCCACTCCGCCCCACTCCAGGTCGGCGGGCGTAATGAAGCGGCAATGTGAAGCTGGCCTCGGCAGGGGACCACGTGATCTACATGGGTTTTCCCGTGGAGGATCTCCGTGAACTCCGTGCCCAACACGAAGTTGGTGTCACAATGAATGAAGCAAAGTTCCTGTGAATAAGACATGGACCACGTCATGTGTGGCAAATCTAAGGCCTAAGGCCAAGCTTTTAACAGCAATCGAAGCTGCTTCCAGCAAGGATGACCTGTACAGATCAACCTACTGCCTTTGGTCCAGCTTGGATAGCTTGCAATATGGCTGTGGTTCCAAACCCGGAGCCCTGTTCGTCTGGTCCACCGGTCGGGTCCTCGGCTTTGACCCACTGAGGGGGCCACTGAGAATGAAGGCGATCATCAGCTTAAGCGGTATAGAGCGTAGAAGAGCCATCTGCGAAATCCAACGGATCGAATTCCCTCCCCAAGAACGTCTGACGAGTCCGAAGAAGCGTCTGCTTTGGAATCCCTTTGAAGAATCGAACAGGTCTTCAATGAGGGCGGCAGCTCGGGAAGCTGAGGGGCGGCTCAGCTGAGCTACTACTCGTAGCTGCTGTATGTCCTCATATGTTCTCCAGAAGAAACAAAGGCCTCAAATTCAACATGTTCCTATGTCTGCGTCATGGGTGAAGTGGAGCAAACCAATGGGCTGTTTGTTCCATTAGTACTTTTGTTTCTGGAATTGTTTCCCTTCTGAGGACTTGGTTCTGATGATGACGCTTTTGTTGGAATTTATTCTTTGGATCGCAAAGCTTGAAACGAGATGATTCGCTGACTGCACCTGGTGAGATTAGAAGCACAAAATGCATGTTTGCTAAAGCAAGGAGAAGTCAAGTAGCTTAGCTGAAGCGACCTTTCGTGATCAGAAAAACAACGCCATACAAACCTCTGAGACTCTGCAGGACGATCCGATGAGCAAGCAATGTAGAGGCACGCGATCTGGTGCTGATGCTCCTTACCTCGCATTGTTCGGATCCATGTGGATCTTTCATATGGACTTTGCAACTTTCATTTGGTCCCTTCGATGCAGCACTAGGCTTGATCACCACCTCGCTTGCCATGTTCGCACTGTGCCCAGAACTGACCACCTCGCACCCACCGTGATCCGGGGGTCTTTGGACCCACCTGACACCACCGCGGCCTCTGGGAAGGCGTGGAAGGCCCGTGAGGCTTCGGGCGCTGGTCCGATGCCTCGGTCCGAACCCACCCAGCTCGCTGCGGACGAAAACCCGCCGCTTTGGACGCAAAGGTATAGTGGAAGATTGGAAAGGATTAGGAAGTGATATGAGCTCATATAGAAGTGTTTCAATGCGCCCAATTTTTAGAGATCCGAGTCAAAAACATCAGATGTGCCTTTCATCGTCGCCGTTCGCTTCCTGCTTGTTGGATCCCATGGCTTGACCAACTTCCGGTCTCTTCCGGTTGTATCAAATGCATCCAAGCACCCCAGAAAACATCCCATCTGGTGCTTAGATCCAAGCTTGGAGTCATCCATCCAAACATATCCCATCATCCAAGCGTTTTCGTCATCCCATCTGGTTGCATAAGTAAAAATATGCAAGAAGTTCTTACCTCAAAGAATCTAGACGGTTGATTAGAAAATAAAACATGTGAATTGCAAGAACCTCTTTCTATGGGGTGCCACCTTAACATCCACCGATGATGGTTGCTTAAAGCATCAAAGACCCGAGGCTTGGGGTGTCATCTATTTGTTGGGCCCAAACGGTCCAACCCCGTTGGTCCCAACCACGTTGGTCTTCTCGCACCGAAACAGGAGCCCGCAGCGAGGGCCCAGTCCGCTGTGGCGGCCCTCAGGGCCACACGTGCAGTAGGGGTTTGTCTGCGCACACCGACCAAGTTGAGAGTAGATGCTGCAGCAAAGATGAGAGTACTTGGAGTCAAGTACTAGACTTGGAGTATTGGGATCCTGTGGGAAGGAGACCACAAGCAGTCCAAAACAGCACAATTCTGCCTCGAAACCGAATTCAATAGTTTTTAGATGTTGTTAGGGCCTACAGGTTGGTGTTGGTACTGGGTCCACCGTGCGGATGTCAACGGTGGAAAATGGTGTAAAAAAACGTGAGCTTATGTTAAGGGTCCAGAACCCTGAGGGGTCTGTATTGACGGTCAAGAACCTTCAGATGAATGTGAGCTGGCCCGCAGTCTGTTGTGCTGTCCAGGGACCTTTCTTTGAGGTTCGTCTCTGAAGAAGCGCGAACAAACCAAACCCATGTGATTCAGCCATTGGCTGAGGGACCCCTGTAGTGACCACACTGTCTCCCAAAATCGATGGAGGAGTAAAAAAATGTCGATTTAAACACACGGTTTTTTTGCACACACGGATTGCCACCGACCCGCTCTTGCGGCTTTTTCCCTGCGGAGCTTTAACCGCTTGGATCAAGTCCCTTTCAGCACCGTGGTAATGGTCACGACAGCAAAAAAGGCCAGCGAAGCACAGGTCCAGCATTGGCCTTAGGCAGCCCGAAGTGGCTCCAAAAATGACCAGCCAAGAGATCCCAAAGCGGGAGATGAACTGCTCGCCCTTTCCATCACAAGAGGGGGGCCTTCTTCACTTGGCGAGTGGAAGCTGAGGGAAAAGACCAAAGAACCTGCGGTCCTACCTTTTTTTTTGTTTCATGGTTTTCACTGACCAGAGTTGATCAGAGTGCACCAGCAGTCATCCCAAGGGGTGATGAAGACCTAATCAGTCATCAAAGCGGTTTAGGGATTGCATTTATCCATATTTATGCTCCTATGTACTCTTCACTTGGCATTATATGTCCCGAGCGGGTTGGGGGTGTATATTCAATCTATTAGTCAGTCTATAAAGTACAAGTCACAAGTCTCATATGGATATCTGTTTTTCATCTGAGTGCCCGGCACAAGCAGATTTGCTGCAAGCCGCAGTTGCATACCTGCCCCCGCCAGCGACGGCGGGCCGCGCTTTACTTTGCAAACTGAGGAAATCCAGCACGGCCCCACATAAAGCCCCAGAATTCCAACTTTTTGTGGGGAGATCCCTCCAACCTTTTCCCACCAACTGTAGGATTTCACACCAATCATATTCCTTCCACAGTGGTCTCAGTGGTCAGGAAGCAGCCATGCGACCGAGCACCCGACCGAGCACCCGACCGCTCGCCCCCCCTTGGGGCCCGAGCACAGCAGGCGATCCACAAACTGCTCGCCCAAAGGGTGACCACTGCTGCCTGGGCAGAAAACGCTCCAGCAAACTGATGCAGCAAACTGAAGTTAACTTCAACAATTGTATCAACTACAGTATGATAAGTATCAACTTAACAACTGTATATATAAGTATCAACAGTATGATCATACATATATATGATATATTATCCTACAGTTGCTTGATTGTACAACTTCAGGGGAGACTTGATCATATATAATATTATATAATATAGTTTTTGTTGGATGACGACCATGAATAACCCTCGGATGGTTGTTTTTACAGTTCCAGATGTTCAGTCGCATCCATCATCACTCGGAGTGGGATCAATTGGAGTGCACGTCCTACTTACAGTACTGACATGAGTGGGAGGGTACTTGGTACATCCCTCCATCTTCAGCCCATCCCTGGCTCTACTGCCTGGGGACGAGCACGAACCGCTCTGAGCTTCGGCACCCATTCAGCATAGCCGGCGCCCATGGAGAGCCGGTAGTCGAAGGTGATGATCTCAGAGGCTGCGGATGGACACCCCTCCACCGCCCCACGGCCGCCGCCTGAAAAAAACCGGGCGGGCAATTGACCCTACGGTCAAGATCAAGCCACCAAACACCCGTGAGGTTACACCTCACAGTGGATTGAGCACAAAAAGCTCTTCTATACCATTCTACTGCCTTTCCCTTTATATAGGTGCAGAATGGTGCAGAGTAACATATTCGATCCACACCACACCAAAAATAGACCTCGTTGATACTGTATCTTTGACGGCAGATTGTCATTTGCAACAAACCACCCCAGCTCACCGTGCATCAAGCCTCTCTTTTCCACTGAAACAGGGCGTCTGTCGCCAAACTACGGGCAGCGACTGTGCTGCTGACCCTCTTTTTTGATCTTTCTTGTTCATTTAAGCCACCACCTCCTGCTCTGGTGCTAAAAGTGGCCGCTGGGCAGCAATGGCCTCCAGTGTTTCACGAGAGATGGGAGGTTCAACCTCTTTTATTTCGGTGACTTTGGTGGGCCGTGTTCCGAGAAACCTGTCAACATCGATGCGGTCAATGTGCAAATCTTGAGGTGCATTTGAGCCATTTTTTGGGATGGCTCTTGCCCCAGAGTGCAGGAAGAAGTGTCCGATCTTCCAAAATTAACATCTGAAACTGGGAGCTTGTGAAAACTCGTGAACCTTGGATCTTTTCTATTGTCTTGTACTTTGGACCATGTCGCAGCTTTTGCAGCACCCCAACTCATCCTGGGTGGGACATGGAAGAGGGTTTCAGCGAATGCATTGCACTTATGGAATGGCACTAACTATCTCACCATATCACAGTCTTCCAACGTTTCCAACGTGAAAAGAAGAGTGCTGGGGCGCTCATCCTCATCCTGGCTGGTTGCACTCATCCGACTGCCCGCGCGCCTCATGATTTACAGTTGCGGCAGTCTGGATATGCCGAGCTTCTTGAGATACAGCACATATGGTGCAGCAGGTAACAAAAGCACAGTCTCCGACAACCTGCGTTGTCGTGTCATCCAAACAAACTGGGCATGACGCAGAAATCAAGTGTCTGCAGTCTCCGCCCACAGGACATTTTTCAGGTCCTGCGATAACCTAGTCACCCCCGCTGGCGATACGGGTATATACGGTATGCTCACACCATGCCTCGCTAAAACCAAAGCGGTCGGCGGTTGGTACAACACGAAAGACAACACTGCCAAGCTTTGTGCAAAAGCCGGGTGCGACCTCTGAAATCGAAGAAAACAACGCACACGAAGTAAGACTACAGTGTATACAAATAATCAAATACAGTATACATCGAAACCTGAGATTTCCAGAGGTCCCCAAAGTGAAATGGATCAATGAAAATTGCTGAAAACTGCTCTTCCAGGGTGCTGATGGACATTCATTTGCTCCTGCCATGCCAAATGCGGCTCTCAACCGATTGCCTCTGGCAGCATGGGTTTATAGAATGTAGCAAGAAGGCTCAGAAGACTGTGACTGAATCGTTTCCTTAATCTTGGCTACCTTCGGTCATTCAATCACGTGGGTGGACACTTCAGAATTCTGCCTGAAATTGGCTGGCGCCCTTGACATCTTGAAACAAACTGAGTGGAAGGCGGTAATAGGTGAGCACTGCACACCAACCACAGCAGAGACAGCTGCAGAATGGGATCGCAGGCATAAGGTCGAAGAAGAGGAACAAAAAGAATGCGGGCCAGAACTTCAGGAATCCCATCATATCCATGTTGCCAGCCCATCGCACTCCAGGACACCAGCCTGGGATTTGTGAGTTGTTCTCACTAAAAATAAGACTTGAAAAACATCGATATGGTTCACACAGTGAAAGGCAACGAGGCCAACCTATGGCCAAAAGGAAGGACCACGACGGTCCAACACGCGAACGCGCCCGATCTGTTTTCCGCTCGAGCCCCACCCTTCCGGGGTGACGTGTCAAAGGTTCATGACATGCGACCTCATGCGCACATCCCCAACACTTCCTGAACCTTTGGCTCAAAGAAGCGGAGGGTACTTCACAACCTCCTCCTCTGCGTCCCAGGGCCAGTTGTGCTTGCTCGCCAACTTTTTCAACTGGCATACAAAGGCAGCTTCTTGCCCTTCCATCTCCTTGATCTTCTGCTCGAGGATCCGTTTGTGAACCTTCTTGCCAGCCTCGAACTTCGGATCGTGGATGAGCCGCCAATGCTGTCGCTGAGCGAAGAAATGAAGCAAGATCTTCCGCGCTCCAAACTTCGTCAGCGCATCGCCCAATTGGGCATTGCCATTCACCCATCGGAGTTGGGTTTTGGCTTTCACAGCCTGGGACACAGCGAGCGTCAGCTCGTATCCTGCCCTGCTATCTCGCAAGCCATGGAGAGAACTCATGTTCCGAGTCATGGCGTCAAAGATCCCCTTGGAATCCATGACCAAGGCACCAGCCACCTCCTGCACCGCCAGGTGAAGATCTCCTCGTCGAAGCTCAACTCCACCAAGCTCTGCCAAGAGCATCCGAACCGCATGGTTCTGGTCTTCTCCAAGCGTAATCGCCTGGACCTCAGCGCCATTCGATCCAAGGCACTGTCTTGGCGTTTTGCCACTCTTCCATTGAACCAGAGCCACCTGCGTCTCGATCCCATGCAGGATCTCTTTGGGCGCCACGCCCGAGAGGATGCCCAAGGTGCTTGACCTGTCAGGTCTGTTGTGCTGGCTGGCATCAGCCCAAGTGATCACGGCCAAGTCCTGGACCTTCTCCACCTGCCATGAAGATGGAAACAAAAGACCTTGTCCAGCGTCTCTCCTCATCTCGCGAACCAGTTTGTTGGTCTTATAGAGAGTTTCAATCGTGCCACGGCTGATTTCACTCAACAAAAGGGAAATCTCTGCCAAAAACTGCGGACCAGTTTGAGTGCTCCTCCAACTCATGGTACCAAGTGCTCCACGAAGTTGAGAAACCTCTTGGCCAGTCAGTGGCGTTTGCCTTGCCTTGGACTTATCGATCTCAATCTCCTCCAGCCATTTCAAGGAATAGGCCTCTTGATTCAAGACAATGCTGAAGTCCTTGCCCTGCTTGATCAAACAACCAGCGAAATCAAATTGCTCAGTCTCCCATTTTCCCCATCGGAAGGCCTCGTTCAGGATCTTCTCTCTGCTCATGTAGTAGGCCGACTCGGGGTGACCTGCCAGCAGGAAGTCGTCCACGTGCAATCCAGCAAGTCCAACCAAGACTTTATAGCCGTTGCTGTCGGTTTCAAAAAGGGAGAAAAGGCATTTGTCGCCACGGAGCTGAATCCATCCAGGAGCAACCAAGACTTCAACACACCGCTCATACCATTTCCTCGGAGCATGGGCGAGACCATAGAATGCCTGCTGCACACGAAGAGCTCGAAGGTCGCCAGGAGGTGCTCCAAAGAGAGCTGACAGCTCTGGCGTCGCCAAGACGTTCAACTCCTCCTTCTCCAAGCTCGTGTTGGTCTGCAAGAAAGCAGATGTGACATCACCTGCCTTGACGGTCATCTTCATCGATGCCGCGACCGTCAGCAGCAGGTTCCTCCCCACCTTCAACATTGTTGGGCTCGCAGTCTCAACCTCCGTGAGATTGTGGGCTTGGAAACCCAATACCACCAAACGGGCCTTAGCCGACCCATCACCCTTGCGGGTGAGCACCCAGCGCATCTGCATCAACTGAGCTGGATCTAGGCGGGCATGTTCCTCCTCCGTCAGGTTGCGCAAGGCTCTCAGATGGAGACTTGCGAGAGCTCTTTTGCCATCGCCAGATCAAACTCCTTCTTCTCACTCAGAGGCAGGCGCTTCCAGTCGATCTCCTTGCCCTTCTCAGCCATTTTCTTGCTCAACCAAATGGCTCCTCTCCGCCTGTTCTTGTTCTTTGCCAACCAGTCGAAGTCATTCTCATCAATGTCCAAGGTGATCGCGATGAAGGTCTCCTTCTCCTCGCTTACTGCCTCACCATGCTGCGATCGACCATGCTCTCCATCAGGTTGGAGTTCCTCAGAACCATCAGATTCTTCATCAGACGGGGTTGAAGAGGTAGAAGAACTCGACGATGAAGCTTGCTCTTCACCCTGTGTTGGTGCTCGTCGGCCATCATAGAGGTCATACATGAAAGTCTGGCCCTCACGATCTTGATGGTGCCCATCATGTCCTCCAGGTAGGTCACAACCAGGGACAGCACATCGTTTTGCACATGATTCTCCACGGAGAGGTAGATCATCCACCACATCAGGTCCTCGCTCCTGAAGTGCTGCTTACTGCGAAGGTGGTTGCAGGCCATGTTGATGGTCTGTGGATGCTCTTCCAGGTTCATTGGTCATCTCCTCCTCGGTCTCAACCTTCTCCTTGTCAATCTCCTTGTCCGCTTTCCTCTTCTCTCCACGCCGGGCAGGCGTCTTCACCTTCTTAGCTGGCTGAGGATCAGGAAGCAGCTCAAAGTGGGTTTCGCCAGTCCACCTGTCAGGCAAGTTCTTGACAATGTCCACAGTGTCCCTGATCACAATGGGTTCACCAGCATCACCACGGTGTAGAGGGCGAACATAGGTAGTCCTCTTGCCAGAGAGTTCATCCAAGTTCACTGGGCAATGCATTGACCTTGCCGGATTAAAGAGTCCGAGCCGCGGAAGATGATGATGTCGAATCAACACCCGCTCACCTCCTTCATGTCGAAGAGACCATGTGTCTGACCTCATTCGCTCAGCAGCCGGCTCCTGCAAGACATCCGTCGGAGTCAGGTCATGCATCTGCTTCTCCTCTGAAGGGACATCACCTGAAACATCAAGGTAGTAGCGTCCTTGAAAAGAGCGAAGAAGCGTGTCCACAGACACAGGTTGGCGGTACACCGCCGCTCCTTCCATCACAGCCCCAAGTTCTTCGCGTCGAGAGACAGGACGGATCTGATTGAGTTTGGCTCTCACCAATGTCGAACCTGAGCTCAGCCAAGCAGTAGAACCTTCAAGCAGGATCACTCTCACCGGACCACTCCAATGGCCCTTCACCTTTCCAGGCTTCACTTTCTGCCGCCAGAGCATCACAAGTTGTCCACTCTTGTACTGGGTGACTTTCCGGCCTTTGGTGTTTGCCAACTTTCCAAAACGATCAGCAGCTCGTTCCTTTTCAAAGGCCAACTTAGCACGCTGCCGCTCCTTCACCAATCGGCCAAAAGCTTTGCCCGGGTCCACTCCTCGAAGCAACTGCACATCGTCCAGCACACCGCCGCCATGTCCGAAGGCCCACTGGAATGCACTGTAGCCACTTGATCCAACATGTGCATTCATCGCTCCAGCCGCCATAGTGTAGAGGTCGGGGATGGACAGTTTGCTTCCCTCTTTTGCCAAGCGTTCCACTGTGCGCTTTGCAATGCCAATTGCTCGCTCCTCTGGACCCATGATCCAATGCGCTTCTGCAGGGGCAATGCTTAGTCCCACACCAGAACGTCCAAGATGCTCTGTGAAGGCACTTGATGTATAGTACCGAGCTGAATCTGCCAAGATCCAAGTCGGAGCCGGGTAGGTCATCACCCACTTGCAAAAAGATCGAACCACATCTTCTGTCTTCGGCTCCCAGTTGCCCTTGTACTCCTGAAGGTGATCTCGCCAGATGATGAGCTTATTCTTAGTGCCGCTAGCATCCTCATGTTCAAAAACATCAGTGCCGAGGTGCGAAAACACAGGAGGCATCTCGCCTGTACTTGCCGGTGGTCGAGGTCGTACTTGAGCAGCTTCTCGACATTCTGGACACTCCAAGTTCGAGGCCAGTTCAATCGCCCAGCCAGGAGAACCACGTGCCTTGAGCAACTGCACCAAGTTGGACATACCAGCGTGACCACTGGCTCTGTGTACTCTCAGCATCAACTGCTTGACAGCCTCTAGCTTCTTCCCTGTCGGGGCAGTCTCCAGGTTCAGCTTGTTCCTCGAGAGTGCAAACACATGCTCCTCATGTCCTTCTCCAGGCACTGGATCTCGAAGATCAGATGAAGAGACCATGTCCTCGGTGGTGTTGTCATTCTCAAGCAAGTAGGTCTCCACCGATCTCTCCAATGAGTTCTCCTGTCGCTTCCAGTGATGAGACATGGTCTTGCAAATGTCCTGGCACATCTTTGGAGGATAGTATGCCGATGATTGTGCCGCAGAGCCACGGCAAACGGCATGTTCATGGCTTCTGTCACATCTTTTGTTCAAGGAAAGCCAAAGTTCTCGGCTTGTAGTCAGAATCGTCCATGACTTCTTGAGAGGGAGTCCTTGCCATGGAAGTCCATAAGCACATCCATCAATCCGGATCCAGTGAAGTCGCCGGTTATGCTTTGCCGCCAAACGATGAAGTCGAGCAATGGCTTTGGACTTCCAACCAGTTGTGGCAGTTGTCGGCCACTCCCAAGCAATGTCACCTCCGCTCTCAAGCACTGGCTCCAGGCTTTGAACCACCTCATCATTCCTGCGAAGATCTTGTCCTCGTCGATGTAGGAAGCGGTCCATCTCTTCTGGAGTTCGAGGAGTGAGAGACGGGAGAGCCGAAAGTCGGGTACATGACATCGATACCCAGGTCAGTCGTGGCTTGGTCTCTGCAATGGTCGTCGCCAGCTTTGCTGTTCCATGCTTGGCATCCAAGTTGAAGCCAGTCAGATAGTTCACCCGAAGACCTGTGTAGCCATGGTCCTGAAATGTCGCCGTCAACGTGGAGTTGGGCGAGCAGGCTATCTCCATGATGTCCACCTGAGGACTCACTGCACCAATCATCTCTCGAACAGGTCCCATCAAGGTGCATGTCAAAGC